ACCGCTCTTCCGATCTTTATATATAGAGAGGATAAAACCAAATTTTATCCCAGTTATACGGTGTCTATTAATGTCGATAATGTTGCATATTTGCGAGGGATCAATAACTTTGACGTTGTCACAGCATTATATTTGTTCGACTGAGTCTGAGAACTTATTGCGCCAATCACATGTATTTCATGAGATAAGAACTGTTGCATAAACCAAGATCGCGAAGGTTGATCTGGAATTCTTTAATAAATTACCCTCATATATATTACATATTGATATCATAGCGCAAAGGATGCGTTCATACTTGGCGTCAGCCTGCGAGCGTACGACATCGTTTTGAGCGTTTCGCGCAGACGCCAACGTGGAGCATTTTGGGTGGCTAGGGATGTACAGGTGTCGATTCAACGTAGGCTAGCGGTGGCAGTTACCGTGTGCAGCGTTTTCAGCGACTGCCCGCCCAAGGTTCGGAATTACACGCGTAACTCTCAAAGCACTTGGTCAGTTCCTGTACTTTCCTAGTCGCTCAAATCGCTCAGAAGGACATCGTACGCTCGAAACTCAAAGTATGAACGCCGACGCAAAGTATGAAGGCAGCGTAAGGAGCGGCAAGTCTCTATACGGGCCATACGCAATTGGACGTTCATGCAGGCGTTATATGCAGTTGCCTGAAAATAAACAAATGCAAAATTAAGCAAAAAAGTAAACAAAATGTTCCTTCTTTCTACATCATCTGTTGTCCAACATGAAAGATTGGAACAAATCTAGTGGGGGAAACCCCTATGTTCTGGCCATTAGACACCATCTCGTTGTCACTGACGTTTCATGGCACGTCATACGAAATGTCCGGAAGCGATGCAACTAGGTTTCAATTAGATTGTCATATATTGTAAAACACTTAGAACATTGCTGTCGTTCGATAATAACGTCCCCATGGACCCTTGCGACTAGTGCTGTAGTGCTTACTTCAGATGAATGTCATGTCATGTATGTTCTTGTGAATGGATAATATCTGGGATTGAAGTACAGATATTAATACAGATTCAGCAATGTAAAACCTGGAATGTTGGCATTACAGTGATAACCACTGGAAAGCTTGTAGACATTCTCGAGAACCACTATGTAGTTGTAATAACTTGAACATTGCTGTTTCAATCTTAATTCCTGTGCTGTCTATTTCCGCGTTCGAATTTTCATCATTACTCGAAGCTGTTAACAAGTATAAACGTCAAGGATATTTCAGAATGGTGGAACGTAAATTAAGCCAAGACAAATACGATGCAAAGCACGATGAGAAGCTTGGCATGGTAAGCCGTACGTATTCTTTGATGCCTCTTTTTGCAATATCATGACATTTCTCAGAACTTGTGGAGTATTGCGCCTTCTTGCAATAGAGCAGTATGCTTCACTCACTGCTTGAGTGTGTTTGGTAAATAACCAGTAACATTGATTTTGGTTTGAATGACTCGATCTGGACATTTGCAAAGTATTGTAGAAATTTTCAAAGCGTTCGAGGCTTAAGGTGACTTCTTAGGAACAGCTGATCGAAATCGTATCAAAATTTCTGTCAGTATATGGAACGTCACACTCTTTGCAATGAATTTGCAGTGGCATCTCTCCTTCGTATTGCCCATTAATGAGCGAGGTCTCGCTTAGAGTGTGACAGTTATGCTGAGAGAGTCGTATCTTTAGAGAAAGAGAAAGTAAAATTTACCAAGAGCGGAAACTGGAGCCAGGTCTCGATGTTGTGGTGTGGGTGGACAGAAAGCGTCTGGTGGGTGCTGACAGGCCACGTAGTAAAAAACGAGGTGTAAGGGGTAATCTTGGAGAAAGGGGCTGGGCTATTGCTGTAATGTGATGCCTCAGCAACTGTCTCTGGCTCTCAATGATTACTGTTTAATTTTGCCATTAGAACTAAATTCGAGTAGCTAACTTTTCTGGAAGGTTATAAGGCTCACGTGGGGCTAGTGGTGATCTGATACGATCAAATGGTCACAGCGCAGTTGAAGGGCTATCGTGATATGACGAATGACCACACGCGGTCGCTCTAATTCATGACGTTTATGGCGTATCAGCACTTACACAAAACACTGACGTGTTCATCGCTGTCATGTTCATCACCAGTATTTTTGTGCAGGTCGTCAAAGGATCGTCGCCGCTTTGGATTCGTATCCTAATTGGCATATTGCGGATATGGTTTTTTATTTACGACTGCCTGAACTACATTCCATATCAGTTGTTCAATTCGCCTACGGAGAAATTACGTAAATCGTCCGCAATCAAGGTAATGAGTGTCGCTGGTGTTTATTTTCGCACTATATTCAATCGTGTTCACTTTCAATTTTTGTCACTGCCCTTAACCATTCGTTATTACGGTAGTTTCGTTGTTACGCAAGCTTATCTTAACATATCAAACAAGCCAGGTTCGTTGCGGATGATGGGACATGTCCGCGGCTGCGTTTGGCGCAGCGCTAACCCTTTTTTCTTCATTCTTCTTCTGGCAAGCGTCAGGACTACCATCATTCGTATCAGTCGCTTTTAGCAGTTGTTGTCTTCTACCCACTTCAGCAACCATTATGGATTTCGCTGTGTGCCAAACGAACCGCGCGGACACGCCCCATCATCCGATCTGAACGGTGCATCTGAACTTAGCCTGGATAGTTCAGTAGGTACAATTTCTTTCCTGGAGGAGAGGATGTGAAAATGCCTTTTTTCTTTTGGTTGTGGTCTACGCGGATTTAGCAAAAATATGTGCTCAACACCTTTGTTGAAACCGAGAAATATAGGATAACATAATGAGAGCTGCACTGGACGGGCCAAAATTATTCAGCTTTATGCCTGTTCAAACCGATGTTTAGGCTCAATGGGTTGATGCTCGTGACGGCAATATCAGGCATGTGGATGGTTTGAAGAGTGAGGAATTTCCAGGAAAAGACACCGTTGACAAGGTCATATCAGATATTTATAGTGTTGTCCTATTTTTTTTATTCTGTTCACTTCTTTGCAGGTGTGGCGTCATATTGTGGAGTTGTATGATGAGGCTCCTGCTCTTGGAACTCGTCAGTTGCTGGCAGTCCATCATGAAAAGCAAGAAGGTGGACGAGTTTTTGAGAAGGTTTGTCTTGCTCCGAGTTGTTCTGTGATAGCACGAAAACCTTTTGCTATGTTATATCGGCGGTACGCGGGAATGTGTAAAGTCGCACGCTTAGCGTGCTTCCATCCAAAATTGTCTGAACGATGACTATTTTGCAGTGGGAGATGGGCGAATACGAATGGATGTCGTATCGTGAGGTTGAAGCAAAGGTAGCAGTTATAGCTGCTGGTTTGAAGGATCTCGCCACCGGAGAGGATCCCAAAGTATGTTTTTCCCCTTAGATTATTTTTCCGGCCCTCAGAAATTCTGTATTCATTTCGCTTGAAAATGTAAAGGGTAGCCTTTCGGCTCTTTAGGTTGTCATCTTTGCGGAGACTCGAGCTCATTGGCTTATCACCGCTTTGGCATGTTTCCGAGCGAACATTCCAATAGTTACTGTGTACGCTACGTTGGGTGAAGATGTCAGTTTCGTTTCATATTTCTTCCCAATCACTGTCAAATCGCATCTTACTCAGTGGTTTTTACCGCCAATATTTAGGCAATTGCGCACGCCATCGATGAAACGGGTTCATCCATCCTCATCACATCATCTGAGCTGCTCGGAAAAATTGAAACACTTGGCAAACGCTGCGTATTTCTTCATACGCTCATCTTTTTCCCAGCAGTTAACAAAGATGCACCAGCTCCAAATTTGGAACCCTTCCGGTTTGTTGGAACAAGACATGTTCACTGTTAGTATCTCAAAAAGTCGCGTAAAATTTAGGAAACAATTCAAAGAGGTTCTGTCTTTCAATGCTCTTCAGACGAGAACGAGTTCGACCATCAGTTAGTTTTACCATTCATAAGTTTCTGTTGCGGTCGGATTTCTGTATTGCAACTTTTTTTAACAGCGCAGTTTCGCTCAATGGGAGGGGTCATTTTGCTAGATGTTGCTAACTCTTGGGGATAGAAAGTGTCAACGGCGCGCCCCGCGTTCGTACAATGTTCTTTTCTAGAGAAGGTAGTCCTGCCTGCTAGCATGCTCGCGACGGAGCCACGACTCCGCCCACTGGCCACGGCGACGTCCAACTTCCATTTTTGAGTGCTATTTGAAGATGCAGTTATTCCGCTACTATCTCCATTTCGAATAGTGAGAGTGAAGTGATAAGGAGAAAGGGCAGCATAAACTAGTGGGAACTCGTCCGACCATGCACTTTATTCGGCTCAGGCATGTACAGGCGCTGTTAAGCATGGGTTTCTAAATGGAGCATTTCAAGCGGGCTTTTTCTGCTTTTCCTATACCTTTGAGTGACTGACCATTTTGTCATTAGTATTTGGCGGTGCAATCACTATTTTTGAAGGCGGTACGGGCCCTTGAGAATCATTTTTATATTTTTTGTACAGTTTGGTGTGCTCATCAAGGTTCCGAATAGACATGGGCAGAAATCGACACGCCATGAGCTGACAATGAATATCTATCAATTCCCTACCCTAAATGCCGTTTAGCGCCGTGATAATAACCAGCTGCATACCACCTCCTCTCCCTTTTAGAGCAGATTTGCCCCTTCTTGAATAGGAGATAAAAATCGTGATTTCTTTAATCAGTTGTGTAAAACAGTTAAATTATATTCCATTTTCTGTTAAATTCTTTGCAGAATATTAAATTTGTTACTTTCTAGTTGTTTTATGGCTTAATTACCATCATAGCAATTGAAGAGCTGCGAATTCAATATATTCTGAATATTCACTTCGGACTTATACCGTTCACCTTCTGGATTTACTTCAGAGCAGTCCACCGCATCCGCTGAAGATCTTGCTCTGATCATGTACACTTCCGGAACCACTGGTCCACCAAAGGGTGTCATGCTCCAGCACAAAAACATCGTTGCTGCCATATGTGGACAAGGCAACGGTGTCGCTATCATCAAGTGGGTTGTATAATAGATCATGCTTTCATCTGATGTTCACTTAAATATGACGGGTCGTAGTTTTCGATTAGCACAGTGGCAGTTATGGCGCGTTTTACGTTGGCAAATGCCGAGCAGGGTCATATTTAGTCCAGGGAGAGGGGAAGGATGGTATCTCGAATGGGAGGGTTCTCCCTCATTTTCGCTGTTTGATTTTTTCCGTTTCAAGTACGCCATATATCTCCGTAGTGCGCGCCTTCAGTTATATAGTTATCGAAGGTGTTAACCCACTGGGCGGCAAAATTTTGGGAAATTATTTGAGAATGTGGATACGATATGAGGGGGAATCGTATTGGAAAAAGATGTTGAAGGAGTTGTATTCCGGTACATGTCCCCAATGCCAGGAAATGTCCTACTGGCAATACTGATTATTCATATGATATTTACACGCGTCGGAGCGCATTTAAAATCCTTCAACATAGTGCCCGAAGCACTCACTCATAGAAAGGACGAGTGTAAATCACGGTAACTTAAGGTAGAGCTTAAGGTAGAAAGTACTACTAAAAATTAATATAGGTAGCCTCCAGTAACTAACAATAAGTAAGATTATGCTCGTTGGTCGGATTCCCCATTCGCTTGAATTGTCGCGGAGAGACATTTACTTCGAGAAGAGTATACTCGCTGA